ATGGGGTGAAGAGGTCATCTGGTTCATGCCACTGCCTTCAGGCAAGACAGCTCCTCAATTATCAGTCTGCTTGGACTTAAGTGATGAATCAGCAGTGTCACTATATCCATAGTATTTGGACTGAAATCTCATACATTTTCATTTAAGATGGGTGTTGGACTGACCTTTGTCCTTGGATATTGTTTATCAATGACTTTGAAACCATTTAAGAAACATTTTTGACTAGCAAAGGCTTTCTAAGGTCAACTATTCATCCTAGGGGTCTATCTCTACATTGTCATTTTCTCATCTCAGGAGACTGGGGTGGGGGAGGCACAGCTGAGATCTTATATGAAGTAACTCAGGCCAAATTAATTTTCTTCTGTGTGTTTCCACTCTCCTTTCTGAGCTACAAAGTAACACTTTTACAAATTTTAGGGTTTTTTTCCTCCCAGAAAATCTTTTAATTATAAAATATGAAAAATTACCCAAAAATAAATAGAAAATATAAATGATTGTTTATTGATAATTAAGTAAAGTATTTTACGAATGGTACAAATCCCATGGTATATAGAGAAATGAATTGATAAATTAAACTACATATGAATTAAATTTTATATAGTATAAAGTATCACATATAAAGCAAAAAGACAAATCAACTAGAGAAAAACAAACACATGCTTATTAAGGAATTGCCATCTCTAATACATAAAGCTATCTTACAAATCCAAAAATAAATAATCATACAAAAACATAATGGATAAAGGATACAGATCTCTCTCTCTCTCTCTCTCTCTCTCTCTCTCTCTCTCTCTCTCTCTTTTCTTCTCTCACTCTCCCCCTCATATACACACACATTCACACATTGTGTTAGAGTTCTTCAGAGAAACAGAGCCAATAAAACATATGCCCATATAAGCAGAGGTTTATTTTAAGGATTTGGCTCACACAGTTGTAGGAGGGGGCAAGTTCAAATCTGCAGAGCAAGCTGGCAGGCTGGAGACTCAGGGGAGATTTGATGTTACAGCTTGATTCTCAAGGCTGGTGTTTAACTGAAAATCTGGGTAACATGGCCTACCCAAGTTAACACATAAAATTAACCATCATAGCTCACCTTTTGTCAATTTGATACCCATAGGCCTTTAAATCACATTTAATCTCCAAATAAAAACTGACAAGGTCACACTTCCAGTTACCATGATAAAATTATCCTGAGTATAATTTTATATTTCAGAAGAGGTTGTGAAGTCCTTAAACCTCAAGGCCTGGTGCATGAATTTGTCCACATTGAAAGGAAATTAATTAGAAGAAACATTTTAATATTTCTATTCACCCTGTCTCTCTAATAGAGGTGTCAACCACATTCATGATTGACAATTATAGATTGAAACACATGCATATGATTGGTATCATACATGCATGAGTCAACTTATTATTTTTATAGATATAGAATAAACTTGCTTAATTATACGTGCTTTTTGATTTAGCTAAACTTTTTCCAGCCCAGTGAAACACCCCAATCTCTCTTTCAGGTAATTGTGAACAGCACGGCAGTAAATATCAACACAAAGCAGATTATTATTGTAGATCACGCAGGGAGAACAAAGGGTAAAATATTTAACAGCAGCAGTGTTTGACTATATTCTGTGTAGTGAAAAAACCTGAAGTCATTTCCAAGGTCCACTATAAATTACTTCTTTTCAGTCAGGTCGAGTTTCTTAGCTTTCTAAATATCCATTTTCCAGCTAATGAAAAGAAAATAGGATTCCACTGAGTCTCCTATCTATCTACTCCAGGACTTCTATGAGGATCAAGATGAGGCACAGGAAAACGCTTCACAGACATTTTGTTAAAGTGTGAAATTTTTGTACCTGGCTATAAAGCAAGTCGTGTTCCTTGGCTGAAGAAACTGCAAGGAAGCTAGTTGCTAGGGAGAGGAAGCCAGGCATTGCTATGTGATGTCATTACCTGGATAGACACTTATCATATTAGCCTGTAACTTATATACTTTGATGTAAAGTTGAATAATACTTAAGTTCATTAGACAATGCTGCTTATGTTATACTAGAGTCCTGGTGCATGAAATTTGTGCACTTGGGGGGGGCGATCCCTCAGCCAAGCTTGCACCCTCTCACAATCAAACATCCTTAGTACTGCCACAGAGGCAGGAAAGGCTCCCGCCACCACTACTGCACTGGCCAGCAGTGAGCCTGGCTTCTGGCTGAGCGGTAGCCTCCTGTGGGAGTGCACTGACTACAAGGGGGTATAGCTCCTGCATTGAGCATCTTCCCCCTGGTGGTCAATGCATATCATAGCGACCAGTCATTCTGCCGTTCAGTCGATTTGCATATTACCCTTTTATTATATAGGATGATAATTGAATAAGGATGGGGGGAACAAAAATACTTGAGACACAAATACATACATATTCTTAACAAAACAAGAAAGAGATTCTCATATTAATTACAGTCCTGGTTGTGGTTCTTTTTACCTGGCAGGTTGACCCAACATTCATTCCTGAAAGTTCTTGACAATTAGTATTGGATTTGAGTTATAGTTTTCCATTGATTTTATTCACAGAACATGGTACTACTAAGAGACATCTTAAGAGATCTTCTGTATTCCAGACATGTTCTTCTTCACCCACATTGTGAAATAGAAGTCCAATTTCCCCTTAGTAATCAAGATCAATTACTCCATCATGCACAGTAACTTCCTTCTTTGCCTGTTGATTCAGGCAAAGTGGCTTGTGGAGGATGCCAAAGTGGCCTGGTGGCAGTCTTAACTTCCAGTTCAATGGAATCATGTCTCCTGGTGGAAGCATTCCTCCCTTTAAACTAAGACCTGTAGACTAGCAGAGTGTAAGTTCACAGGGATACAAAGCAAACATTTTGCTAGTAGATCACTAGGAGTAATAGTGAGTGGTGTTATTCCCATTTCAGGCTTCTGATTCCTAGACCTGTACGTTCTAGCTATAGAAGAAACAAAACCATATATTGGTTGCTGATATAGGGTATATACAGCCTTCTGAAGAGCCTTGCCCAAACCCGGCAAGATATTATGACCTAGCAGAGCTTGTAACTAGATCTTTAAAACATCATTCCACTGTTTCATCAAGCCAGCTGCTTGAAGATGAAGGGGAAACTGGAAGAACAGTGCCTGCCATGAGCATGGCCCCTTGCCACACTTTATTTTTCAGAGAAACACAGAGTTATCATGTATCTATCTACCTATCTATAATCTATCTGGAAGGAATTGGTTAATAACATTAAGAAGCCTGAAAAATGTCAAGTTGGAAAACCAGGAAATCTGGTGGTATGATTCGGTTCAAATCTGAACACCTGAGAACCAGAGGAGCCAATGGAGTAGATTCTAGTTTTTGCATTCCAGATCTGGGGAAAGAACCATAGGGTGCAGTGAGCAGCTCTGGGGCCCACTCTGAGATGGACCTGAGCCAAAAGTCCATTGATTACCTGACCTCCATAACATCCTATCTGACCAAATTGGAAAAAAGTGGACCAAAATTATGTTCTATGTCTTTTGGAATCAGTATCAATTCAGACCCAGTTATTCCCCCAACACTATGATTCAACATTATGTCTTCTCCAAAATTATACCACATACTTAATATCCATTCCATGTGTATTCCCTGGTTTTATGTCTATATAAATTAGAAAAAGACGTGCAGTTCTTTTGGAGTGTAATGCATCTATTCATGGATTACACTGTGTACCTCATCTTTAGGAACATACTGAGATTTGAGTACATTTATAAGTCCAGAAGCAAAGAGAGACGATGGAGTGGGTCCTGAAGAGAAACTGCTGTGTCATGCAACACAAATATTTCAGGAAAGGTCATTATAGTTTCCTAGTGTTAATCTCCTCAAATGTGTGTGTGTGTGGGGGGGGGGGGGTGGAATGGCTGCTTATTCTGGCAAAAAAAGATTTGGCAGAATTTAGAAATTCAGCATCCCACCTTTGTCAAAATCTTTTCAAACATCTTGATTCTAATTTTCAGGATCCCAGGAATAGGACAACTAGGCACCATCTGAAGTTTCATGTTGGGCTCTAAGGACACAGCACTACTTCTGAGGGGTCCCTGCACACATGCATAACCGAATCCGGGCAAGCAGAAGCATCAGACAAACCCAAATTGAACATTCTACAGAAACAAACCACTCTTTAAAAGTGTTAAGGGCTTCAAGAAACCAGAAACACCAATCAGTAAGGATATATGCACCCATATATTCATAGCAGCACAATTCACCATAGCTACGATCTGGAAACAACCTAAGTGCCCATCAGTAGATGAATGGATTAGAAAACTGTGGTACATCTACACGATGGAATACTATGCTGTTGTAAAAAAGAAGGAACTCTTACCATTTGCAACGGCATGGATGGAACTGGAGAGCATTATGCTAAGTGAAATAAGCCAGTCAATGAAGGAGAAATACCACATGATCTCACTCATTCATGGATAATAGAGACCATTATAAACTTTTGAACAATAAGATACAGAGGCAGAGCTGCCTCAAACAGATTGTCAAACTGCAGCGGGAAGGCCGGGGAGGGTTGGGGGGCAGGAGGGAGGGAGGAAAGAGATCAACCGAAGGACTTGTATGCATGCATATAAGCATAACCAATGGACATAAGACACTGGAGGGTAGGGGAGACCAGGGGATTGTCAAGGGTGGGGGGAAAAAAAAAGGACACATATGTAATACCCTTTGTAATACTTTAAGCAATTAAAAAAAAAAAGCTAAAAAAAAATGTTAAGGGCTGAAAAGACAAAGAAAGCCTAGAGGACTTTTACAGATACGAGGAGACCAATGAATCATAGCAACTTAATGAAATATTGGATACTGAATTAGATTCTGAACCAAAGACAATGTGCTTTGCTAGAAAGGACTTCAGTGGCACAAGTGGCAACTTTGAACAAGGTCTGTAGATACTGAGGCCTTAGGGAAGCAGGAATTGAGGACAGAGTAGGAGAAAAATAATGTAAGGCAAGGCAAGAGCAAATGCAGAATCATCCTTTTATTGTTTCACATCAGGCTGTGCGCACACACATAGCTGCATAAGGGCACAGGTCTGTGCTCTGGAGTTCCCAGAGCAGGCACACATATGAGCATACATGGAAAGAAGTTGGGAGGTGGGTTCCAGGGAGAGGTTTGGGCTCGAGGACACCCGTGCACAGGGATCCTCTGCAGCAGAATTCAGAGGCCTCACCCAGACCTCTCAGCAGCACGGCAGGCCCAGCAGGAGGAACAGGAGAAGGAGGTGAGTGGCCATTGGCTACACCCCAGTCAGCTCTTCTTGGCTCAGAGTCCACTTCAGCAGCAGCCTCCAGAGAACTGACCACTGCTCCCTCCGCAGCAGCTGGAGCCCCCTCCAGAGCCCCCTCCGCAGCAGCTGGAGCCCCCTCCAGAGCCCCCTCCGCAGCAACTGGAGCCCCCTGAGCTGCAGCAGTCAGAGCTTCTGTGTCTGAAGTGGTGAGACCTGCGGTGCCTGTGGTGGCTCAGGCAGCAGCCCCCACCCCCAGAGCTACAGCAGCCCCCACCCCCAGAGCTACAGCAGCCCCCACCCCCAGAGCTACAGCAGCCCCCAGAGCTGACACTGCAGCAGGAAGACGCTGGAGGGCACTTGGGGGGACACTTAGGGGGACATTTTGGGGTGCAGCACTTGGGAGGGCACTTGGGGACGCACTGTTGGCTCTGCTGGCAGGACATCTCGGTGGGCAGGCAAGCGGGCGTTCAGGAGCTGAGAGAGAGTCAGACAGCAAGTCAGTACCACACAGAGGCCAACCCTGCCCCTTTCTCTTCCTTCTTGTTCTCTAAGCATCATTTCTAGCCCCTTTATTTTGAAATGTTTAAGTGGAGCCTTTGCTACCTAAACCCTGAAAGGTTTGTTATTTCTAAGAGATAGGAAAACACTCTCAGACTTCCTCCTTTGAGCCTCCCAACTTCTACTTAAGATAGGCAGGGATTAATATATCTCTTACAAAGAAGGAAACTGAGACAAAAATCAATACAAAAAAACTGCCATCATTAACTATCTAGTAAGTGAAGATCATTCTTTTTTAATCATTTCAACCAGAAGCCTGAAACTCTGCAGTTAAGAAAATTGTTCAGAGTATAAATATTCTCTTTTAAAAAGGAAACTCATGGTTATACCTTCCTAAGTAGTTTTGTTCTGTAAAGACTTAGGGTTGCAGGTTGGAAATGGACTGTGAGTCCATCTGGTTGTCACTGCAAAAGCTAAAGAGCAGTAATTTTTGCTGTTTAGGGGATTTGAGCTCAGACACCCTGGCTCTGGCCTGATGCTCTAAAGTTCTCAGCACACCAAGGCCTGGCACAAACATCTCGGCCCGGTGATTCTCACCTTATTGTGCCCAAATTCTCAAACAGAATCCCAGTTCCATTTCAGATCCACAGATATGTGGGTTTTCTAAAGCCCCAAAGGATCTCTGGTCAGCTCTCTCTCTATTGGTGGAGAACTACCATCCCCGGCATTTTTGCATGGAGGGTTGTAATCTTACTCTCAAAGGTAAAGGCTCCTCATGAAAATTTCTCACCGAGAGCCTTAAATTAAAGGCTTCAGTTCCTCTGACCTGAGAGCATAGCCAACAGGACCTACATTTGGTCCAGCACAAACACACAGCCATCCACTTCTCCCTCATGGTCCCAGTAGGTCCACACCCACCATGCACATCCTCCCTCAGTCTTCCTCTCCCTCTATCTACAAGGCCTCCAACACCCTTAGCTTCTGCCCACCTGCCCACTAGCGCTGGTCTGAGCCTCCCTCTGTGGAAGGCCCTGCTCCGTTCCCAGTGGACACTTACCAGGCACACAAGCAGCACAGGATCTGTCACCACCTCAGGAGGGAGTGAATGCAGATGCTCTGGTCCAGAGGCCCTTTTATCCTGGACTTGGGCTCTGCCCTAGCAAGTGAGACAGGGCCTGGGCATGAGAGGACTGCCCCCTGCCACCCACATGGGTCCAGTAACCTGTGACTGGATGATGACTTGTAGTTCCTCCCCTGCTTCCCTCCAGGGAGCCCAGCACAGCTGCTTCTGGACTACATATGACCCAGCAATTCCACTCCTGGGTATTTATCATAAGAAAATACCAAATTACCAATTCAAAAAGATATGTGTACTCCATGTTCGTTGCAGCAGTATTTACAATAGCCAAGATATGGAAGCACCCTAAGTGTCCATTATAGACCAAAGGATAAAGAAGATGTGGTACATATAGAAAATGGCATATTACTCAGCCATAAAGAACAATGAAATCCTGCTCTTTTTTTGACAATATGGATGGACCTAGAACCTATTATGCTAAGTGAAATAAGTGAGACATAAAAAGACAAATACCATATGATTTCATTTATGTATGGAATCTAACAAACAAAACAAGTGAATAAACAAAACAGAAACAAACTCATAGATATAGAGAATATATTGATGGTTGCCAGATTGGAGGGGGGTTGGAGAAATAGGTGAAAAGTGGAAAGGATTGAGAAAAACAAATTGGCAGTTATAAAAATAGTATAGCAGGGTGAATGTAAAATACAGCATAGGGAATGTAGTCAAAAATATTGTAATAACTATGTAAGGTGTCAGATGGGTACTAGACTAATCAGGGTGATCATTCCATAAATTCTATAAATGTCTAATCACTATGTTGATTACCTGAAACTAATATAATATTGTATGTCAACTAAAATTTTAAAAATTTTAAAAATCATAAGGAAGAGAAAATAAAAAATAAAAAGACAGTAAAAAAAATGAAAATCAGGATGAAAAATTCCTGCACTCATTCCCTACCTCAGTCATCCTGGAGGTTATTGCCTTGCTTAGTTTTATGGCTTGAGTTCCCAATCTCACCTTTCTTGCCTCCCAAATCTTAATTCAATGGCTCTGGGCAATCTCGTTTAAACCAAGTTTCATAGAATCCTCCAAGTCTTTATTACCTTATATGTAAGTGTGTGTGCATGTGCATGTACATGTGTGTGTGCATATGTATTGTATTATAGACATGAAGACCCTGGTTAAAGATTCAGACCTAATAGAGAATCCCTGTTCTGCCACCTATTCACTGTATGATCTTGTGAAAACTTCCACATCCTTCTTGTCCTCAGTTTTGTTGATCTATAGTAGAGATAATAAAAAGTAACTCTTCAGGGTGATGTGAGAGTCAGTGAGCCAATGCAAAGAAAATCTCTGGCAGAGTTATAACATGTTATATTCTCTAAAAAATGCCAATGTATTCAGTTTTTAAAAAAATTATAGCTGCTTTCTAAGCAGAGTGGATCTGATTAGAAAATCAAGACCCTCCTGTTTTCTTGCTAGGTTTTTAATAAGAAAATGTGAACCAGGAATGAAGTTTTATAGAGGAGGAAGTGAGAGGTGACTTGATCTGCTAATTAGAGTGAGAATTCAGATTTTTCAAGGATCATACTGGAGGGCTGGGATCAAGTTCACAGATGGGAAGGATGGAAGGTAGTGACGAGCTAGTGAGACTGTCCCGGGGGCACTGCTGGAGGTCAGGCAGCTGAGGAGCAGGCAGCCCTGGTGGAGGGGGGCGGGGGGGACAGAGGATGTTTAAGAACAGCAGTGTCTAACACTTCATGTGATTTGTTGTCTGTTTTGTGAGTCTCTCAACTCAGTTATCTACATGAACACAGGCTTTCCTTGAAAAAAAAGTTGAGATTTCCTATTTTTAGATTAAGGGAAAGGGCCAGAGTTTGCATTCAGGTTCATATTAAGTCAGATAATAACAGCCTAGTCTATAGTGTTGCAAGGTTATTAAACAACTAAACTGCATAATCAGCTGAAGGAGAATTCTCATAGAGAGTCTACTTGCCTCCAGGCTTGGGAATGAACTCTGGAATTCCCTAGAGCCTGAATGGATGTTGATTTCATAATATCTAGGTCATGTTGGGCAGTACGAACCCTACTAGTATGCAGCGGCGATATGTGCGTCTGTACTTGCGTATAATTCTACTTAGAAATTACAGAGCGTAGAGGAGACACTAAACACACACACACACACACACACACACACACACACACACACACACACACATTACCATGGTTCTCTCAGCATCCAATATCACCTAGTATCCAGCTTTCCCTAATTTCTGTGCCCAGAGAAAAAAATTTTTTTTGCCTTATTTCTCCTTTGTTCTATTTACATTGGGTTTCATCTCTTCATTGAGTTATATTTCTCATTGGATTCCATCCCTCACCCTCAGGAATAATTGCCCCAGATCATTAAGGAAGTTTCATCTTGGGGTCACCACTGGGTTCATGATGAGCTCCCATCTCTACTGACTGATGTTGTAGGCCTATGCAATATGACTCTTTGCTATATCTCCAGTTTAGGCCTTGCTACCTCCCTTTAGAAACATTCCTCCTTAGCTTACATGGGCTATGTGCTTTACTTTGAATCTGCTCCTTCCTGCCAAACTTCCCTGCTTTATTCCATAATATATACACTTCAAAACCAGTGCTACTCAAATATAACTTGCTGTGTATGTGTTATGAGTCTCTGTCTCAAACACACTTATAATAAACTCTTTTGAATCCCTGGCTTGGGTCTTATGTCTCTGTGTCTATCAGCAGCTCCTAATCCAGGGCTATGCATTCAATGGAAAATCCATTTAAAAATCTATTTATTAATATTAGCATTAGCTTTACTTCTATTATGACTTAAGCCATCATCACCAGAATTCTCACTCTGGAGTATTCACATTACAATGCACTAGCCTTATCACCCTGCAAAATTCTGCCACTGAACTGCCTGGTCATGGCTCATGTTGTTTCACGAGAGTGTAGTCAAATATTGATTATTTTGCTCACACAGGTAGCTCTGATTCAGGAGCCCAGCTCATCCATTCCAAAGGTGATGAGACTTCGGAGCTATTCTGTCTATGCCTCTGTCACCATAGAGGGCATCACCTATGGTCATTTGATCTGACTTGGGTTTAGGGGAGAACATGATGGAACGGCCTCAGGACTGGTGTTAGAGCCCAGTGGCTTGGGTACCATTTAAACAATGTGCACTAGAAAAGAACTGATTTTCTGAAGTGTATGATTCTTGTGTCAGTGGGATCTCATAATCTCAAAGCATGGGAGGGAAGAATGCTGAGACCTGGTGAAAATTAACTCAAATTCAGTGACTTTTACTCTGTGCCCCAAAGCCGCACTATTTACAATTCTCTATTTACAGTAGCAACAATAAATTTACACTCCAAAATTACTAGAATATGTACCTAGTCGTTTCTTTATAATTACTTGGGTAAAATATTTTAAGCATGGCAAAAATACTGATCAACTTGACCATATAGAAAAAAATATCTTTATGGTAGAAAGCATCATAAAAAAAGATTTAATAAAATCATGAGCAGAGGAAAAAGAAAACACACAAGTCACTAATAGAATTAAAACTCATAATAAACAGTAAGTTCTTGCAATTTTATAGAAAATAAGCAAAGCTATCTACAAACTAATGTGCTTTGCCCATTAGTTTGTAGATAGCTTTGCTTATTTTCTATAAAATTGCAAAGCTATCTACAAACTAATGGGCAAAGCACATGGACAAGTAGCTTAGAAAGAAACACAAATGACCAATAACTTTAGAAATTTATTGCTTCATGTTTGTGTATATATAAATAACCAAAGAACTACATATAAAACAAGGATGACTTTTCAGGGATGAGGTCTATTAGATTTATTTCTTTATATTGAATTGAAAAGGACTTAAAATGAATAACAAAACTCAGTTTTGCTAAAGGTGATAAAAAATGGGTCTTGTGTTATTGGAAATATAAATTGGCATAACCATTTGAATGGAAATTTGATGATTCATTATTCAACATTATTGTTATGTATACAAGTTAAAATTTAAATTTAGCATACTCTTTTATACAGTAATTGAACTTCAAAGAATGTCACCTAAGAAGAAACAATTTAATAAAGAAAACTATATTATAAGAATGATTATTACAGAAAATTAAAATAATAGTAAGAGTTAGAAAAGTTGCAGGATACAAGATCAGAATACATAATAAATTTGATTTATGTTGACTACCAATATATATTAAAATATAATTTTAGAAATAGCTATTTAAAATAGCATATATGATGTGTAAAATATAATTTTAGTATTAAGTATTTTTTATAAAATGAGAAGACTTCTTTAAAAAAAACTTTACAGAATATAAAAATAAACATATACCATATTTGAGTCTGGATGGAATGGAAAATTATAAATATAACAATTCTTTCCAAATTTTCTAACCAGTTCTGCTCTTCTTGGAAAGCAGTTATAATTTTTTAAATGAATGTGTTGGCATTTTTTTAGAAAATGTAGCATGTTATCACACTCTGCCAGAGATTTTCTTTGCATTGGCTCACTGACTCTCACATCCCCCTGAAGAGTTATTTTTTATTATCTCTACTGTAGATCAACAAAACAGGACAAGAAGGATGCGGAAGTTATCACAAGATCATACAGTGAATAGGTGGGAGAACAGGGATTCTCTATTAGGTCTGAATCTTTAACCAGGGTCCTCATGGCTATAATACATGCACATATGCACACACATGTACATGCACATGCACACACATTTATATATACGATGATAAAGACTTGAAGGATTCTATGAAACTTGGTTTAAACAAGATTGCCCAGAGCCATTGAATTAAGATTTGGGAGGCAAGAAAGGAGAGGTTGGGAACTCAAGCCCTAAAACTAAGCGAGGCAATAACCTCCAGGATGAGTGAGGTAGGGGATGAGGGTAGGATTTTTCTCCCACACATTACTGTGTGTCTGTTTGGTTTTGTATTTTCTCTTCCTTATGATTTTCTTTTCTAAATTTATTTTTAAAATTTTAAGTTGATATATAATATTAAATTAGTTTCAGGTGTACAACATAGTGATTATTCATATAACTTATGACATGACC